TTTTTTTTTTTTTTAATTCTTGGACGTGGCCTAGGTATCGCGGCCGTGGCCTAGCCCAGCCACACGGTGAGATGCTCTCTCTCTCTCTCTTTTTTGTTTTATTTTTTTTTTCTCCTCGGATGTGGCCAAGGCATTGCCTTGCGGCCGTGCCCAGCCACGAGAGGGCACTTAGATTTATTAAAAAAAAAATTAAAAGCAAAAGAAAAGGAAAAAACAGAGGGCCTTGATCCACCACTCTTGACATGCACAAAAGACACAAATCACGGTGTTGTATCTTTCCATGTTCTTGCACATTTCGAGAGTAGTGGAGCCAGACAAAACAACTCTCAGAGTGAATTTTCCCTTACAACATGGAAAGATGCACCGCCACGAGGCCCCATGGTCGGGAAATCTGAGGGCATACTCACACGGCGACCCCGAATCCGCAATTTGGGAAGGGCAGATTTGAGGTTTTGGGCATGGTTCACGTCACACTACTGTGCCTTTTCAGATGGGACAAAGTCGCCGCCTTCTGGAGAAATGGGGATTTGGTACTTGGCTGGTCACACTGCGCCATCCACTAATTGTGCAAGAACTTTTGTGAACGAATTTTTGCCAATTTTCGAAGAAAACTGCAACAAATGAAAAGGGCATTTGCGGTCACCTCCAGAGGTGACCGTCCAATTTGCAGTCACACTGGAATAGTACATTTGCGAATTTGGTAGATCCCTGTGACCGGCCTTTTACCCTTTTTTTGGGGATTTCGGGATTATAGGTCCCCTTGTGAGTATGCCCTGAGAAGGGGAAAAAAAAGAGGAAAAAAAAAGAAAAAGAAACTGGCATGTGTCTCCCCTTGGGCCTCGGCGTTTTTGCTACCTACCTCGTGTATCCCGCTGGGCCCCTGTATTCCAGTTGCACAAAAGACAAAAATCATGGAGCTGTATCTTTCCATGTTCTGGCCAAGATTCACTCTCGTTTTGCACATTAGGAGATCAATCGTGGAAACTGAGAGTGAATCGTTGGTAGAACATGGAAATACAGCGCCACGATCTTTTCTCTTTTTCTTCTTGTTTCTTCTTTTCTTTTTTGGAAAAACGGCCTGGCCCTTCGACGTGGATGACTAGACTGCAGTTACAAACTCTGCCCTGCGACCGCCACGTGACCCTGGCGGAGTTTTGCCTGCATTGGAAACATCAGAGGGGACTGGACTCCAAAACGGCAGTTTGAAATGCATTCTCAATTGAAATTTTAACCCTGACCGCGCCCTAGTTTTCTCAAAAAAGAGAAACCACAATTTTGCCACTTTTGAACTTCCAACGGCTACAAGTACAGAAAGCTGTTCTTTCTGTTTCTAGCAGTTTCCAACTGCCCTCCCTCGGGCCAGAACAGCAGTGCCCTCCTGTTTTTCCTTCCTGCGAATTCCGAACTGTGCAGCTGTCCGTCACCTGCACAGTTATTTCAGTATTTGTTTTGTCAGAGGGGCTACCCAGATCTTTTAGGGGCATTTTGGCATATATCTCAACTTATGGGTGTATTTTGCTGGGAAGATTTTCATGGCCAGCTGCGCACCCGGGCGTACCAATACATATATAATTTCGTTTTCGTTTTTTTTCGCCTTTCTGCACTCATACAGAGGACGCCAAATCTGGGCTCTTTTCATTTTTTTAAACCACCAGTACCTCCCTGTTGTCAAGGCCCGTGGCTCAGGCTACCGGTAGCCCGGTCATTCCCGAGCCTCGGACAACCGGTAGGACACAACGAAAAAAAAAATAAATGAAAAAAATGAAAAAAAAACATACAACATTCTGCAAAAAAAAAACAAAAAAAAAACGAAATGAGACCTCTCTCTCTCTCTCTCTCTCTCTCTCTCTCTCTCTCTCATCAAAATGAGAATGAATCTTCCGCAATAACGCGGAAGATTCATTCTCGTTTTGATGAGAGAGAGAGAGAGAGAGAGAGAGACAGAGAGAGAGAGGGCGTCAGCCAGTTTCTGACGCCGAGTTTGGTGCACCAAACTCTTTTCATAGTCTCTAAGGGATCCTTTTGCTAATATTTATCAAATCAACACAGGACTTCCCTTGGGCGTCAAAAACTGGCTGACGCCCTCCCTCTCTCCCTCTCTCTCTCTCTCTCTCTCTCTCTCTCTCTCTCTCTCTCTCTCTCTCTCTCTCTCTCTCTCTC